TATCGAATTCGTCCTCGATATAGTATGCGCGCTAAGGATGAATGTGGGGCAGTGCTTATCCGAAGGGTTCACGGCAGTTCATGTGGATGGAGAGCAGAAAGAAACTTCATGAGCCTAGGTGCAGTAAGGAAGGCTGTACATCACCAGTGCTTGCCTATGCATAAACTAAAATGATAGGCGTTGTATGCTACACTGGTTCATAGCGTACATCGATGTCGGGCGTGTTCAGTCTTGTAAACGTCGTCCATAATCGCACTTTCGGAAACCTGGCTCACACCATGGCTGACGAGGAGATAGAGATAGATGGCTACTCTTTTTCTAACTGGTTTAAAAGGCGGGAGGGCTTGTGGGGTTGCTTTGTATTCGTACACGTCCCTGTTCATCCCGGTTGTCCTCTCTGGTATCACTCCTGCATTTCTTTGCGATGCACTGTGGATTCGAATACCGCTGCGTGGGATAGATTATCTTCTCACCGTGGCCTACCGCTGCCCCTGGAGTCTTCCGGAAGATGACCCATTCCTCATACCCTTGAGCAACTCTCCAGCTACCAATCCACAATTCTCTTGCTGGTAGGTGATTTCAACGCCCCCACGGCCTCCTGGATAGAGCTCCAGCGCGTCGGGTCTGGCGGACATTTTCCAGCGGCGCTGACCAAAGTCGTTCAACAGAGCGCGTGGACTGAACATGTCGCACCCACCAGACACCGCACAGACCAACCAAATCCCTCCTGGATTTGGCCATCACCAACGAAAGACACTTTGTTAACCAGGTGTCGATTAAAGCTCCATTGAGATATAATGGCCACTGTGTGCTGACCTTTGATTTCGTGTGCTTCAGGGCCAGAAATCGCGAACCTCAAATGTGGATCCCAAACTTCTGCCGTGCAGACTTCTCAGGAATGCGCATTTTTCTTGATCAATTTAAACTGGGACCAAATTCATTGGAAGAGTTATACAAGACCATTGTCCAGAGAGTTCACAAGGCTGACCGGATGTTCGTCTAAAAAAGCACGCAGTCGGGTGGACTGCAAGGTACCTAAAAGGATTCGGCATCTTTTGGAAAGGAAGTCTCAATTATCTTTCAAAAAGTTGAGTACAGGAGACGAGATGAGCTGGCGTTTCGCAAAATTCGGAACCCGTGTAAGTCAGAAATCCGCCAATGGAACATCCAAAAACAAGCCGCCATAGTAAACCCCGCCCGGAAGAAAAAATCGAAATGTGCTGTTTAAATACATGAGACCGTCGTAGAAATCAACTGACTGCCTTCTTGAACGGCATGAACTGAAAATCCATGTGACACAAAAGGGTATCTGGAGTCTACAAATAACACTATATAGGCCTGCATTCTACCTCACTCACGGTCGGGGGCGAGATAGCCCAAGCGGTTATAGCGCGAATTTACCGACCGGAAGGTCCGTGGTTCGAACCCGACATTTGGCACTCGACTTCCTCTGTCTAGGCTTGGGCAACCTGGCAGTAGCCCAGCCCTCGTGCTTCCTCCGGGCGGCATGCCGGCTAGGCACCGGAAGGGTGTTACAGCTGAGCAATTTTTTTATTTTTACCTCACGCTCAGTTTTTTCAAGGCGTAACTACGAACGACCTCTAACCAACTGCTCTTCACGGAAGAGTACACTCGTCAGCTCTTGCATAAGGCAAACCCGTTCTGCGCGTTGGGGCCAGGTGTGTTTCATCCAAGGAGGAAGGAAACGTCGTTCACACTGGCAAAGTATTTCTAACTGGTGTTTCGTCAGTCGGTTGACAAAGTCAACTTTCCCTCTGCTTGAAAAAAGCGATTTTCACGCCTGTCTACAAAACTGGTGACCGACTGTCGCCCGGTAGTTACAGGCTTATTAATTAATCCCTAGCTTATTGTGAAAGATGATGGAGCGCATTCTGAAGCGGACCATCCTAGATTGCCTTACTACCAACAACTTGATATCACCAGTTCAGCACGGATTTCTCCCAAACCGTCCTCGCGTGATGAATATGCTCGTATTTTTGGACTGCTTAACCCAAGCTGAGTAGGAGGGATTTACATGGGATGCCATATTTTTCGGCTTCTCAAAATCACCTGATCGGGTCCTGTTGCTCCACAAACTCGAGTCTTATCGGATTCAATTAGAAATTCTACGTTGGAAAGCATTCCCATCAGACAGAACATCCTGAGTGAAACTGGGGTCGACCTACTCTTTGGCACCGGTCTCCATTAGAGTTTATCAAGGTTCTATTTTGGGACCGTTTCTGAAACCGATCTATGTCAATGAACTTTCAAACGGACGACTTGAAATTCCGGAGTTCAAATGCCAGTACCTTCTAGACGCTGCAAAGGAGTGGTCGTTGGACTGTTACCTTCCTCTGAATGACGAAAGGTGCATCCATGTGCCGTTCGGAGGGGACTCAGCGAACGCCTTTATCGTGCATGGTGAGAACGGACTAGAAGACACCACGAGGATAGGTGGCAAAAGGGATTTGGATATCTGCCTCTCTTCAAACTTGTTCTTCTTACTGCACCATGAGAAATCGACTCAAAAGGCACTTGCCATTCTTCGGATGGTTCGGGGCACCTTCTCGCTTATTACTCGCATGGACTTCCAAATACTCTATGGGGCCTACTTCTGACCGCCAACCAAGTTGTCTGCTCAGGACGCAAAAAGGACGCAGTTCTCATTGAGCGTGTACAACGAGCTGCTACAAAAGTGGTTACTGGCCCTAAAACGGTGGACTATGAAACGCGTCTCGCGATGTTTGATCTCCTTCCACCGGAGTATCGTTGCCTCAGAGGAGCCGTAGTACTTACTTATGCCTTGTTTGAACGAGATTTGGTCGGTGTGTTTTCCGCCGTTGACCCAGCACACACGGCGGGGACCTGGTAGGAGGATTTTCAAGCTCAGAGCGCACTTTTTTATCAAGCAAAATGTCTTCTCATTTCAGGTAGTTGCTGTGTGGAATAGCCTTTCTCCGATGGTTGTCCTCGCCATGGCAAACCTACTGCCCCGCGCTGAGAATTTAGAGAGGAGTGCAGCGCTTTTTTTCGCTTGTGGCTTTCAGGTGAACGTTAGCCGCTGAACGACAAGACCAAAACGACCATTGGAAACTTGGACGAATGCCTCGATCCTGTATGTCAATACAGAAATCCGTCAAGGAGGATCTGCTTGCTGGAAAGTGCAGCCAAGTTTGTCGGGCTCCGATGCTTGAAGATTGAATTCGAGAACTCCGATGCTGTCCGCGCCGGTGAACCTGCAGGTGTTGCAGGCAAGACCGGTGGAAGAATGTCTATTTGTCCTGATGGTTGGGTCCACATTGAGGGTCATTAATGCGGTTGGGTGAAGGGGAGGAAAGCATGTGAAGGAGGAAGAAGCGAGGCCTCATCAGTGGCTTGTTTCCCCTTGCCAGCCCCGCTTTATGCAGCGAGTGAGGCACTCGGGTGTTTTGACCACCGTGACGGTCGATGTGGCATGAGGTCATTTGTAAATGCGTTCTATACAGACTGGGATACTGCTAGGACAGGATTATGGTCTCCCACTAAAGACTGGCTTGAGAGCCTGACCGAAAATTAGTGGTGTTTGGGAGAAAATGACAACGCATTACACAAATCACCACATATTCTCGCACACTTCTAACCATATGCCAGTCTGATATGGGAGGCCTTGAATGTTTAACGTACATTCCCCAGTATAGCTCACTGGGTCATGGAGGCACGCAAACCCCTACGTCATGGTGGGACCCGGCCTCTTCGTGATGGAGACGATGTATCTACTGGTATCGACTCTTACCGGGAAGTACTATCTGCGAACCTGCAAGGTGCTGTTCACTTTACTTGTGGTAACTTGGATGGATTTATTGAATCGATCTTCCCGATGAACACCATTAAATAGATATAAACACTGGATCTTGAACGAAACTCCAAAATTGGTCATAGCTTGGACACGTATTGCTCCCGGTCGAGAGTAGAAATCTGAACCGCCAGACTTCAGGTAAAAAAAGAGCATCGGTCTGGATCGACAGGCTTGGAAAATCCATAAAGCTAAGGAGATGGAGGGAGACAAGATCTGAGAATGTGAGTAAAGTATACCGCCTGGGACGCGTAATGGGCCCAAAGAGATCTTTAGTGAGTGAAACAATAACTGACAACAGTGACTCGTTTATCACCGGATTGAACACTTTAAATAACAGTAATAAGTAATAGTAGTAATAATAAACGTCCAGCCTCCTCTCACTGGCTAGCTGCTATGCCACCCGGGGAAAGCACGTGGACTGGGATACTGCCAGGTCGCTCAAGCTTAGACAGGCAGGGTTGGGATGTAGAGGTCAGGTTCGAACCACGGACCTTCCGGTCAGTGAATCCGCATTCTAACCACTGAAGTCTAACAACCGGCCAGTTGCATTAACTGTTTTGGATTCCCGACCCGCAACGGAGCTCTGGACTGTGAACTTGGAGCCGCCGGTGGCTTTGAAAATCAGCAAATACCTTCACCCTCGAGCGTCATGAGCTGCTTGTCCAACCTATTTTCTTTTATCTGGGTGGAGTAGACCGTGGCAGTCAGTACGCCTTAGCCGGTCGAAGTACCCATTCCGAAAAAGCTCGCAGAGAATGTGGCAACCACAGAGGAATTAGCTGGACCCAATCTTAGCTTGGCTGTTTCCATTGCTTATTTACATCGTCTCATGAGAGCACTGAATTCGTGGTCCGAAATCAGCAAACAGGGTCACCACCGACTGGAGACTATAGGATGCACCCCCACACCGTCAAGTTTTGGGGCGACAGCATGCCTATAAGCTTCATAAAATCACGTTGTTCCTGTCCTTCAAAAGCGTGTCCGATTCCGTCGAATCTTCTCAAAACGACCGTACAAAAGGCTGCCATAGAAGTCGTGAAAATCATTACTTTGTATTCAAAAACTTATGAGTGCATGGAGAGGTCCCTAAGAGCTTTCCTACGACTAGTTGTGTCCGGCAAGGGTATTTACTCGCTTTGTTCTTGTTTGTTTTGTTAATAATGGGATGATGAGACAAACTCGAGAGGATCTTCAAACCCCAGGTGTCCAGATCCTTCAAGTGAGAACCTTGTCGAACTGGAATTTCCAAATGGCTTCGCTCTCGTTTTTGAATGGCAGACGCTCAGGCATCGTTAAAAATGTTGACTAATGTCGTCCAATCTTTCGGCACCCACAAAGCGCAATGTAGTCTGTGAACATGTCTCAGAATTGAATGAGTAATATTGGAAGTCCTGGAATATTGTACGTAACTACTGCATTAGCTCTGATAATAGCTAGCTTCGAAGAAGTTAGAATATAAAAAGCAGATTTTCCTCTGTCAGTTCGCACTACTTGTGGCATATCACTGAACTTCATAGGACGAGATAGCTCGGCGATTAAAGCACCAAACTTACCGACCGGAATGTCCGTGGTTTGAACTTAATCCCGTCGTCTCAACGGCTGTCGTTTTATTTCCATTATAGGGACTTATTCAAATATATTGGCGTGGCTGTATGACAGTGAAGCATCAGTATTCCGTGTTGTAAGTGACGATGACGATGGTTCTGGCTGGCCGACACCCGGACTTTTCAGGACCACTCCTCTGGTCCGTAGCCGGTTTAACGTGCATCCGTCCAATCAATATGATCGGTTATTCTGATAGGTTCACCTCTTGAGAGACGTCATGTTATACAGTGCGTGCGATCACAGTGACCCTGTGTTAGGGATGACGTGGGTGGGGGTATAAGGACTGAGGTGTAGGGTCCGGCAGGCAGTGAGCGGAAGATGTGGTGACAAACTGCTCCTGGCGGAGTGTTATTTTGAGCCACCACGAAACACTGAGCTGCCGAGCCACCATCCTTGCTACCTGCTTTCATGTGGACACTCGTGTTCTGGTGGGCGACTTTTCCGAGTAATTAAGGCCTCAAGAAACTGGCCAAGGGTGCTGTTCCAGTGTTGCATCCGGAATAAGTAAAAACTATCCCTCCATTAGGTTCTCAACTACAGTCTAAACAATCCACCATTACTGTCATCCTATGTGGTAATTCAATGGCCAGTTTGTAGTTATCGAACACCGGACATCTCACAATATAGCGCAAGATTTCCTGATGCGCATGCCAACAGCTAGATGGTCAACTGTTGCACTGCCGAGCCATCAGAAGGAGCATGGGGTCTGGAATACTGTCAGGTTGCCCAAGCCTAGACAGGGTGAGTTGAGAGGCAGAGCTCGGGCTCGAACCAGCACCCTCCGGTTAGTAAATTCGCGCTTTAACTACTAAGCCATCTTACCTCCAACAGTCAGAAGCTGTTTTTAATCATCATCATCATCATCGGCCATCTTACAACAGTCAGAAGCTGTTTTTAATCATCATCATCATCATCGACAGCATGACATCAGTGTTCAACACCGATGCTTCACTGCCTGCCGACCATGACTT